AATAAATAAAGTTGAGACTAAAAAAGCAATACAAAAAAGATCGACAAAATGAACATTTTTTTAAAGATAAAACTGATCAACTGCTAGCTAACCTGACCAAGGAAAGAAGCGAGAAGGCCCAATCAAACAAAACCAGAAGTGAAAAAAGGGACATTACAACTAATACCACAGAAGTACAAAAGATCATCAGAGACTATTGTAAACAACTATACACTAACAAACTGGAAAACTAGAGGAAATGGATAAATTCCTGAAAACATACAACCTACCTAGATTGACTCAGAAAGAAATACAGAACCTGAACATACCAATAATGAGTAGCAAGACTGAATCACTAATAAAAAGATTACCCAAAAAAAGAAAAGTCCAGTACTAGATGGATTTGCTGCTGAATTCCACCAAATAGATAAGGAAGAACTAACATCAACCTTCCTCAAACTCTTTCCAAAAGTTAAAGGGGAGGGAAATCTCCCCAACACATTTCCCAAGGCCAGTATTACTCTAATACCAAAATCAGAAAAGGTACAACAAAAAAAGAAAACTATACGCTAATAACCCTAATGCACATACATTAAAAAATCCTCAACAAACTACTAGCAAACTGAATTCAACAGCACATCAAAAAGATAATACAACATCATCAAGTTGGATTTATACCAGGGATTCAAGACTGATTCAACATATGCAAATCAACAAACATGATATAACACAACAGAAGGAAGGACAAAAACCATATGATCATCTCAGATGCAGAAAAAGCATTTGATAAAGTTCAACATCCCTTCATGATAAAAAGTCTCCAAACTATGCACAGAAGGAACATGCCTCAAGATAATAAAGATCATATATGACGAACCCACAGCTAACAACATACTGAATAGGGAAAAGTTGAAAGCCTTTCCTTTAATAACTAGAACAAGACAAGGATGCTCATTTTTAACCACTCTTATGCCACATAGTAATAGAAGTCCCAGCCAAAGCAATCAGACAAGAAAAAGAGGTAAAAAGCATCCAAATTGGAAAAGAAGCCAGGCGTGGTGACATAGCCATTCTCAAGAGGCTGGGGCAGGAGAACTGCTTGAGCCCTGGAGGTAGAGGTTGCAATGAGCCGAGATTGTACCACGCTGTACTCCAGCCTGAGAGGCAGAGTAAGACTCCATGTAAAAAAAAAAAAAAAAAAAAAAAAAAAAAAAAAAAAAAAAAAAAAAAGAAAGAAAGAAAGAAA